TTTATACTTTAAAATTATCTTTTGTAAAGTAATGAATAAAAATTTGAGACAGAGAAAGGAGATACAACAATATCTCAGATTTTTTTGCAAATTCCTTTAATATTAATGTTCTCTTTGATGAGTTGAAAGAAAGTTGAGAAAATACAGCAGCTAAATCAAAGAGTCCCAAGACTGGTGCCATACAATAATACCTTTACAATCATAACTATCTTCGTTTTTCCTCAGAAGTTTGTAATTCCGTTTAAGAATGCCCAAAATGCCAATTGTCTTACTCAAGCTTCTACAAAAATATGTGCCCAATCACGGTCCTTTGCAGTTAGGAAAATGTGTCTCACATCTCTCTCTGTGCAACTAGCTTAGCACCACGACAACGATTCGGTTTGATGTGGTAGGCAGAAATGGCTAACTCCAATCTAGAAACAAGATTTTTTCAATAACTAGGTATTCAGTGGGCATCCATTGATCACTTTAACATCTTTCGCTGTGTTTTTTAATTAGATGTGGTAGAAGTGATTTGGACTCCAGTATGATTCTGAAAAGTACAGTTATTTTGTGCTTCTAATGTTGCTTTAAAAGCAGCTCTTTCATGTTTTCCATTCTTATTGCTATTTCATCACTAGTTATTTCTTTATGTCTTTTCATTTAATTTATTTTGCTCAACAATGCTTTTTTTCTATTCTGTGAAAGATTAATTTACTTGTGTGTGTGGTAAAATGTGAGCAACATATCAAATTCTCAAATTCTTTGCAAGATACAATTGCCTTGCACATCAGATTGAACATTGTATACCAGAGAGTATAGAGAGTTGCCAATTAGCCAAGAATCAAATGACCTATTTCTAGCCAAGCCTATTTTTCATGGCATCCTGGTCCTCTCTGTCACAAGGCTCCTTACAATTGGCTGTGGCTTTGTTTTAACGCATGTAGTTATCACTAAGGAACCTTGCAATGAACTTTTGTATTTTCTTTTCTCTTTCATTTCCAAATAATCAGGAATGGCACACAAGGTGCATTTTGAAAAATGCCACTTTAAAGATTTGTGGGCCGGGGGCAGTGGCTCATGCCTCTAATGCCAGCACTTTGGGCAGCCGAAGTGGGTGAATCCCCAGATCAGGAGTTGGAGACAAGCCTGGCCAACATGGTGAAGCACAGTCTCTACTAAAAATACAAAAATTAGCCAGGTGCCATGGCAGGTGCCTGTAATCCTAGCTACTCCAAAGGCTGAGGTAGGAGAATTGCTTGAGCACGGGAGGCAGAGGTTGCAGTGAGCTGAGATCACACCACTGCACTCCAGCCTGGGCGACAGGAGTGAGACTCCATCTCAAAAATAAATGAATAAATAATAAATAAATAAAGATTTATGATCAAGTAACTACCTGGACATCCTGTCCTGGCATAAAAATCAGAACCTATGAAGCCACCCTAGACTGTTGCCCAATCATATCCCCCAAAAGCAACCTCTATCTTGAGTCTTGTATTTACTATTCCTTTTCACTGTCTCTAAAGATTTTTATAATAAGTACATATATACCCAAATCACAGTTTGTGTTTTTTGAACTTCCTGGTACAGAGAACTCACACTATGTGTATTCTTCTGCGATGCGCGTTATGTGTAGGAGAGTTATCTCTGATGTGGGAGGGTTCTGCTCATTCATTTTTACTGCTAAAGTTTTACTTTTTATGAATATACCACAATTTTGTTAATTCCCATTGATGTATATGTGATTATTTCCAGTTTTTTGCCATAAACATTGGTGTACACGTCTCCTGGACACATAGCCAAGAATGTCCCCAGAGTGTATGATCAGGAGACAGACGGTGGGATTATACAGTGTATGGACATTAATCATACTAGATAAGGCTAGTTTGATTTCCCAAGTGCTTGTACCAAGAATGGGAAAGAGTTCATGTTGCTCATGTGTTCTGAAAACATTCAGTTGAAGGTGGAGATTAAATGTTAAAAACTACTGTCTTGGCTACAGAATCACCCTAGGCATTTTTTCATTTTCCATTAATAACTTCCTTTTCCTTACTTTTATCCTGTAATTTATGGTTTTATACTTTAAGCATAAGATTCAAATAATGCTTCCTTTTAGCCTAACCACATAAAATTTCTGAAAAATGAAAGGAGAGAGAAAGCTCTGAGGGAGGAAAGGAGGAAAGAAGTACAGAGAAAGACAAAATGAAAATTTTCAAAACAGAATAGGAGGAAAGCGGATTGGAAACGGCAAGTATATTTTAACATTATTAAAATGCAGGGAATTAAAAGATGATAGATAACACTCCATGGGATAAATAGAAACGTAAGAAAGCCTTAATAGTTATTAACTGCTGTTGTCAGCAAACTACCTCAAAAATTTATGTCTTAATACAACATTACCCTGTTAATCAAAGAGACACTATAAACCACAAGCAAATAATTTTTGGGAGTGGCAAGAAGTTGATAATAGACGATTCTCACAGGTTGTAATAAATATAGAGTTATTGGTGTGAGAATGGAAATGCTTTTTGATCCAAGTTCTCCAGGAGCAGATGCCAAGAGGGAGCTTAAAGTCTGCAGCATTTTATGAGGCAACACACCTGTAAGAGAAATATGGAAAGTGAACCAGAAATCCCTGGAAAAGGCGGCAGACAATGATGCAAGTGTGACCCCAAGTGCTGGACAGAAGGAGAGAAAGTTTATGCGACACGCCCAAGAGCACAGGCAATCTAAGGAGGGTTCAGCAAGGGCATGGGGGAGTCCTGGAGCCACATTTGGCCATCAGAGGAGTCCCCTGTCTCCCGGTAATGGCCTACCCCTTAGTGTGCCTGCTGTGACCGGTCACTGGCTGGGAACCACTCATGGGAAGCAGGGCTTCTGCACTAATCCTGCTGAGGATGTCAGAGCACAGGAGCAGAGCCGTGGTACATTACCTAGGAGTATCACTCAATCCTTCCTTACAGAGGGTTCTGGGCTGTTGAATATCAAACCCTCTCAGGCTGGGTTACTGGATGGTTCTGCTCACACTTACAACAGGCAAGGGAAACCAGGAGATCCCCAAGTGGATTCCTGGTTTCTATGCACACGTCTCCTGCCCTCATTGTGTGATAGCAGCCCTGCCTCCTCCTCTTCTCACCTGCTTGTCTCTGGGCACATATTATTCAAACATCCCTGGGGGCAACCACAATGTGTAGTTCCATGGACTCTCATTTGTCTCCTTGCCAGGGTGCCCCGTTTGAGAAATCAGAACCTCCTGCCCTGTGGAGTCCAGATTTTGGAGGTAAGAAGAGCAAAATCACCTTGGAGGTGAATATAATGAATAAAATAAATAAATAAATAAATTCTTTTACTTATTTATGTATTTATTTACTTATAACTAAACCAATCACCCTGGGGGTGAATATAAGGAATGAGACACACTTGCTCCGACTTCTTGGTTTTGGACCCACGTGTTCTGCCTTCTGAAAACAGCACCACAGAGATGTCTTTGATTCAATACATGTATCACATCCTGAAAAATGACACCCATTCCTCAGAGGGTTTCATCCAAGCTGGTAGTGAGTTGTGCCTGCAGGGTCCTGTCCATGACTCTTGTGTGCCTGGCAGGATCTGAGAGGCACAGGTGGTGATATGACCAGGGGATCCCATGGTCATGGCCCATGCTTCATCCCCTTCCCCATGAGGTGTGTCCCCCAGGCAGATAAGGTACTGAAATTCTGAGCCAGTGGATCAGGAATTCCAATAGGGACGCTGGCTGAGGTTCTGAGAGCAGAGAGGAAAACCACACCACATCGAATAGGTGCCTATCCCTGTGTGGATGAACTTCTGCCCCTTCCAGGATGGATGGGGTTCAAGCTATTCAACTTGTCACTTAGTGGCTAGTCAGTTACCTGAAGAAATAGTGCCCTATCGGTGCCCATCATTGGTCTGTAATGCTCACAAGCAGAGTATTCAGTGGAAGCAGTAGCTGGATTGGTATTAGTAGGGGGCAGTCAGTGCTGCTGGACTCATTTGTATTTTCATCCCTACCACTGTGGTTGCTCCACTCATGGGTCCTTCCTATCAGGCCTGGGCTGATCCATGATGCGGACTGGCTAACTTCAATTTATCTTCAATTTGTTTGGTGATTCAGGGCCACGTCAGGGCTGGGTGTTTTCTGTGGGTGTTAACATGGAATTGAGGCTCAACCTACATGGACCATTTGCATCTCATGATAGATGCCGCTGGGTCTGTCCAATCTATGACTCTATGGGTCACATAGAAGCCAATGCACAAGGGCACTTGGAATCACAGGTTGCTTGGTGTCTCATGATCAAGCATTCTATCTTATCAGGGCCAGGAACATGCTAAAAGTTGCTTCTAACAAGGAGCATGTTTCTCTGCTGTGGATTCCATGACCTTACTTCTGATCCCAGGCCCTCCATTCTGACTCCCACTGATGCTTGGTTCAGCTCCATCCTGCATCTTTCCCCAAACTGCCACCTCCAGCACCAGGTGCTGAGGGATGGTGACTGGCTGCACCACAGCCTGGGTCTGCGGCAGTGTCTTTTCCTGACCAGGCCCCACTCAAAACTGGCCTCCTCCTATATCACCCAGAGTGTGGGCCAAAGCAATATACTTAGATGTGGAATGTGGTGTTGCCAGAATCCAGAGAGGCTTACCAGGCAGTGTGCATCCTTCCTTCTGGTGAGGATGCAAGATGCAAGTGTGTCTTTTACTTTGGAGGGGAGAGCCCTGCATGCCTGTAACCACTGGACCCATAACACTTCACTGCAGTGGCCACTCTTGAAGCTCTGTGAGGTTTATCTTCACCTTCCACAGTGCACGTGTTTTGCCAAGGAATTTGGTGTACTTTCCTCCTCTTGCTCATCCTTCCCAATTTATGTGATATTGCCAATGAAATGAGCAGATATAGTATTCCGTGAGATATTTGATTTGTCCAGGTCTCTCAAGGCGATATTTATAGAAGGTTGAGGAGTTAAGGTAGCCCTGAGGCAAGCTATCAATAAACGTATTATAAATCCCATGTAAGTGTGAATCATTCCATTTCCATCTTCTAAATGAAATGGGAGAGAATGCACTCACCATATCCACAGCTGCTTGCCATGTGACTGAGGCATTATTAATCTCCCCAAGCAGTGATATCCAGCCAGTATGGCAGCTGCAATCAGGACTCCTAGTTGGTCACGTCTGGAGGAATTCCATTCATTCTTTAGCCATATCAGGCTTCTTCAGGGACAGATTGCTGAGTTATATGGAGATTACAGGCAATCCCAACACCACCCCGCATCCTTCAGCTCTCTAATGGTGGTGCTACCCCTACAATAGCTGCAGTACCCTCCACCAGACCCACCCTGGGGCACAGTATTGCTTCTGGTTTGGCTTGGATGAGGGATGTTTCCCTTTGGGCTTTAGCACAATGAGAGCCCTTACTCTCCAGACTAGGGACACAGTGTGGGGTGACTCCTGTTGAGTGCATCAAGGCCAATTATGCACTTGGAGAATGGGGAGATAACCAGGACAGCCCATCGCATGCTCAATACATCCAACTCGAAGAAACCCCATAGCACAGCTGCATCCACTGTTCCCCTAAACACCCCACAGACATCAGGCCCCCCAGGGTCTCATTTTTATAAGCCATGAGAGACACATCAGAATGCTGGGCACAGTTGCTGCCTGTGGTAGAACAAAAACAGGACCTGGTCAGAGCCCAGAGATCTGGCTAGAGGAGGAGTTTGGGGTTGGGTAAGCTCTCCCATTGGATCCCGACCACAATATCCCAAGGATCTCAGGGATCAGCCCACTTCATACTTACGTGCAGCTTGAGAGTAGATCACTCTGTTTCTATCTGTGGGAAGAAAATGTCTGTGAGAGGCCAAAAGGGAGTCAGGGCCATAAGGCCCTATAGCATAACCCCTAGTCTTTGATCCCAGAGAATTTTCCAGAAAAGTGTAACTGCAGATACAGGACAGGATCAGAAAACATGAGGAAAGCAGGTGTGGGTCCTGGACCAACTGCCCTCCTGAGGTCTGTCCTCAGCAGGGACCTTCCCCTGTGACTTGTGACTGCTGGGATCAGGTCCCCATCATCACAATCATCAAGGTGATAAATCTGTCCTTCCTTGTCACGGGTGCTTTACAAAACAGTAAGTGCTGGCACAAAGGCCCAGGCTGGGTTGGCCGATGAGTGTGCTTCCCAGTAACTAGGCAAGGCACACTTCTACCTGGGGCTAGGAACCCCCAGTGAGACAAGAAAACTCAGACCCTACTCCTCACCCCTTCCCCAGTTGAGCTCTTCTTCCTCCACATCACAGCAGCGACCCCAGCTCCAGTGACTACAGCTCCAAGGAGAACCAGGCCAGCAATGATGCCCACGATGGGGATGGTGGGCTGAGAAGACTGCTTTGGGAAAAAAGGGGAAGGTGAGGATCCCTGATGCCCAGCCCCCAGCCCCGACCCTGCTGGTGCAGAAGGTCTCCAGAGAGGCTCCTGCTTTCCCTAAGAGACATGACTGCCCCCCTCTTCCCCTCCTGGCTCATCTCCCGCCTTACTACATCTCAGGGCGAGGGGCTTAGGCAATGCTTCATGCTGTACATGGCACGTATATCTCTGTTCCTCTCCAGAAGGCACCACCACAGCTGCCCACTTCTGGAAGGTTCCATCCCTGCGGGCCTGGTCTCTACAAGCTCCATGTCCTGAGTCTGGTCCTCCCCATCCCGCTGCCAGGTCAGTGTGATCTCCACAGGGTAGAAGCCCAGGGCCAAGCACCTCAGGGTGGCCTTATAGTCAGAGATGGAATGGTGGGTCACATGTGTTGTGGGGGGATCTGACGGGAAGAGTCAGAAAATTCAGGCACTTTGCATCTCTTATGGGACACTCCACCAGCACGCATGTGGCCCTCCTGAGAATGGATAGGACACCTGGGGTGGGGAAGGGAGCACAGAACCCAGACACCAGCCTGGACACAGGCACCTGGGATAATCTCCTATTCCGTGGAAAATTCTAGTCCCTGAGGAGGGAACAGCGACTTCTGGTCCTGACCTGAGGGGAGGCGAGGGACTCAGAAGAGCTGGACTCAGACTCTTACACACATTGAATGTGAAGCAGAGAACAAGGCCTGAGAGGAAAAGTTACGGGGCCCAAGGCTGCTGCCGGTGTCAAAGGGAACCACTCATCAGTATTCCAGCGATTGTCTTCCCTTCATTCCCTCAGAGATTTCATCCCTTAATTGTATCAGAGAGCAGGGTAGACCCTCAAAGTCATTCTCTGGTACAGGATCTGGAAAGAAACCCAGGAGGATTCCTCTCCCTCAGGACCAGAGGGAGTTCGACATTCTAGTGTTGGTCTCATTTTCCCTCCCTTCTTGTGGGAGCCCTGCCCGGGAGATCTACAGGCGATCAGGGAGGCGTCCCTTGCCCCCTGGCACCCGCGCGCTGCAGCGTCTCCTTCCCGTTCTCCTGGTGTCTGCGGAGCCACCCCACGCACATGCCCTCCAGGTAGGCCCTGACCTGCTTTGCAAATTCCTCTGCCTCCCACTTGCGCTTGGTGATCTGAGCAGCCGTGTCTGCTGCGGTCCAGGAGCGCAGGTCCCCGTTCAGTGCGATGTAATCCTTGCCATCTTTGGCGTGCTGTTCATAACCGCGGAGAAGGCGCCCATCCAGCCCCAAGTCTCAGCCATACTCTATCTGGAGGGTGTTAGACCCTGGCCCCGCCTCCACGGTCAGCCCCGCCCACCGAGCCCCGCCCCGCCCCGACCAACCCGCGGGGATTTTGGCCTAAACTGAAAATGAAACCCGGTAAAGGCGCCTGGGGCTCTACCGGGTCGAGGATCTGAGCGGATCCCACAGCCTCGGGGTGGATCTCGGAGCCGGAGACTCGGGGGGATCCGGGCGGTCCGTGCGGATGGGGAGGGGTCATGACCTGTGCTCCGAGCCGGGGTCACTCACCGGCCTCGCTCTGGTTGTAGTAGCGGAGCAGGGTCCGCAGGTTCACTCTGTCAGTCTGTGCGTGGGCCTTGGTGTTCCGTGTGCTCGGGTCCCAATACTCCGGCCGCTCCTGCTCCACCCACGGCGCCGGCGGCTCCATCCTCGGACTCGCGGCGTCGCTGTCGAACCGCACGAACTGCGTGTCATCCACGTAGCCCACGGAGATGAAGCGGGGCCCCCCGCGGCCGGGCCGGGACACGGCGGTGCTGAAATACCTCATGGAGTGGGAGCCTGGGGGAGAGGAGAGGCTGAGACCCGCCCGACCCTCCTCCCCGCGCGGCTCCCCGGGTCCTGCGCCCCAGCTGCGCGGGCCCCTCGCTCCTCTTCGCAGAGGCCATTTCCCTCTGGATCCCGCACTCACCCGCCCAGGTCTCGGTCAGGGCCAGGGTCCCCGAGAGCAGTAGGAGGAGGGTTCGGGACGCCATGACCCCATCCTTGGGGTCTGGGGAGAATCTGAGTCCCAGTGGGTTCGCGGGGACTTCAGAACAGGGAATCCAGGAAGAAGGACCCTACATAGGTTGGGAGAGGGAGAAGAGAAACGCTGTGGAGATGGGGAATCCCCAACGCTGAGCCTCCCCAATTAATACTCAGCCTTTGGGGCCTGAGACCCTGAGAGCCACGCCTGGGGCCATGGACTTCGCCCTGACCCCGCTCCTCCTGTGCCAAGCCTCTGTCTCAATGTCTCCCTCAGTCTTGGCCCAAGAACCGTCTGAGAAACCAGGGAGAAACCCTCGTCATGGGCCCCATCCGTCTTCAGTTTTCATCCCGGAATCCCCATCCCAGAACTGGGCTCCCTGCCTCCCACTCCTTACCTGTTCCCCTGGACTCTTCTAGAAGAAAACTCACCCCAGGGAACTTGGCGCCAGAGAGTGAGCTCCTCCTGGGGATAGAGGTGTAGAGACAGGTTTTTTTTTTTTTTTTTTTAAACCCGGAAAAGTTGTGCTTGAGTGCATGAAATAGAATAGAGACTAGTTTGCTCTGTTTATTAACTACAGTGAGTAGCAGACTCTTGGTAACCCCTGAATGATCAGGATTCTAATCGGTAAAAAATGTGACTTTGGCCCCTTGATATATAAATATGTCTATAAGCAGTACAACAGGACTCACAAAGCTCCTAAGTTTCACTTTCACAGAGAATGTATCTGTGACTCCTGCTTGTTGTATTTTACATTTATCTTCATTCCATAGCCCTGAGTTACTGGGTGAGTCTAAGACATTGCCTCAATACAAAGAAGCACACTGTGTTACTGTATGTTACAACCAGGAGCCGGTACAGACTATTCAGCTCACAGTTCAAGTGTTCAATGCAGTCACAGTGCCCCTCACCAATGCTCATGCACTGCCTGTTTTTAGGAAGTATTCACGTCTAAGTGGTGTGTATATCTTATAGGAACACTTAGTATTTTTAAAACCTGATTAATAAAAAAAAAAAAAATTCGTTTCTAGGCAGTCCCAAATACAGTATTAAAGGCCAACTGCAAAGAAGGAACATTAAGTATTTTTTAAACCTTATTAACATAAAAAACATTAGTTTTAGGCAGTACTACATTAGGTATTAAAGGCCAACTGCAAAGAACACCCAGCAAGGCTCTGTCGATGGATGTATTAAAAATCTATAAAACAGTATATTTAAACGTAAGAATTCTACTGCTTTCCAATTCCTTCCCTCTGCTCCTTTTCCTAACCTCCTGCTTCTCCAGCCCTTCCCTGTGTCCCTTTCATCCCTCAGACCCTCCTCTCCCCTTAGTCCCCACCACCCTGTCACTCCTAAATTGTGGCTCTAGCACTGTCCCATTACCTGCTACGTGACTGTTCTCTCCACGGTGGTCCTGCTACTGTGAGTCAGAGTGTGTCACTTCCTCACATAAAACACTCCAGTGGCTCCACCTCGGTCTTGTGAAGCTTCTAGAATGTCAGGTACATGAGCATATGAGGGCATACCTGGTTCATCTTATGCACTAAATTAATTTTTATTGACTGAATGAAATATGAGTGTATTAATTGCATCACAGAAAGTTATGAAAAGTAAAACACTGACAAGTTAAGATTTTATGTAACTAGTCTGCATATCAATTCAATTCATTCCATGAGTCTGTTGAGCCTGTGTATGAATTTTATAAGATTGCGTAACAAATTATCACAAACATTGACTTGAAACAACACCCAATTATTGTTGATTTATTTATTTTTAGAGACAGAGTCTCCCTCTGTCATTCAGGGTGAAGTAGACTCACATGATCATGGCTCACTGCAGCCTCAAACTCCTGGGCTCAAGGGATCTTGCTGCCTCAGTCTTCAGAATAGCTAGGACTGCAGGCAAGTGACACCACGCCCAACTAATTAAAAAGAAATTGTAGGGATGAGTGTCTCACTATTTTATCTCAGCTAGTCTCAAACTCCTGGCTGCAACAGATCCTCCTGTGTCAGCTCCTCAAATGTTAGGATTACAGGAGTGTGCTACCATGCCTGGCCAAACAACACTCATTTATCTGTTTATAGTTCCTCAGTCAGAAATCTGGGCATGATGTGGATAGAATCTCTGTTCTGGGCTTCCCAAAGCTGTGTTTTCATTTTGAATCCTCTTTCAGGCTCATACAGAGGTGGCAGAACGCAGTTTCTAGCAGTTGTAAGACTGAGGTCCCTGTTTTTCGCTGGCTGTCACTGTAGAGAACAGGGAGGGCTGTGCTCAATTCCTGGTGCCCACCAGCATTTTTTCTTACACAGCCCCTTCATTTTCAAAGCCCACAGTGGAGGAAACCCCTCATGCTGGATCCCTCTCACACTGTGAATTTCTATGCGCAGGAAGAACCTAGTCCTTTAAAGGGCTCAGCTGTTGAGGACAGTCCAAGCAGGATAAACCCAGCCTAAAGTCAACTTGAGGCTCTTAACTATATCTGCTAAATCCCTTCACAGCAGCACCTGCACTAGAGTGGTTTGAATAACTAGAGGAAGGTGAATGGCCAGGAGCTGGTTGTTGAGGCCATCATAGAATCAGTCTAGCAAGGGTTGGATCTTCCTTTTGTGTTTCATTGGGACACCGTTGGAAATTGAAGTTCAAGTAAAGTGATCATTGTGAATGGTAATAAAATACATCCTCTTCAGTCATGGAAATTCTCCTTACCTTTTAAAACTAAATTACATGTTTGTATCTTATAATTAATTTAGGCCAGGTGTGATGGCTCATGCCTGCAATCCCAGCACTGTGGAAGGCAGAGGAAGTCAGAATTTGTTGACTCCAGAAGTTCAAGATCAACCTGGGCAACATGGTGAAACCCCCATCTCAACAAAAAAATTAGAAAATTAGCCAGGCATGGTGGTTCATGTCTGTAGTCCCAGTTACTCAGGACATAGATCAGAGGATCCCTTGAACCCAGGAGGTCGACACTGCAGTGCATGGTGATCATGCCACCGCACTCCAGCCTGGGTAACAGAGTGAGACCCTGTCTCAAAAATAGTAATGATGATGATAAATTTAAAGAAAATGCAAATTAACCTGTAATAATACATCCTGTCTTGCGAATATGTATTAGTTATTTAGTATTGCATAACAAATTATGTAAAACATAGCATCTCAAAACAACAAATATTCCTCATCTCCCACAATTTCCAATGGTCAGGAATCCAGGAGAGGTTTCCCTGAGTGCTTCTGGCTCAGGGACTCTCACAAGGTTGCAGTCCAGTTGTCAGCCTAGGGTTGCGTCATCTGAGGGCTTCACCGGGGCTGAGGATTCACATGAAACAGGGCTCAGTCACATGGCTGTTGGAAAAGGCCTAGTTTGTGGTCTGGTCACAGAAGGCCTCAGTTCTTAGCCACATGGACCTTCCTGCAGGGCTGCTTATAGCACAGCAGCTGGCTTCCCCCAGAGCTCATGATCCCAGAGACAGAGAGAGAGAGAAGCGGGAAGCCACAGTGAGTTTTATGTTCTATACCCAGAGTCACAAACTGTTATGTCAGCATTACTCTATCAGTTAGAAGTTGTATTAGTCCGTTCTCACACTGCTATAAAGAAATCCTGAGACTGGATAATTTATAAAGGAAGGAGGTTTAACTGACTCACAGTTCTGTATGGCTGAGGAGGCTGCCCCAGGAAACTAACAATCATGGCAGAAGTGGAAGCAAACCTGTCCTTCTTCACATGGTGGCAGAACAGAGAAATGTAGAGCGAAGCGGGGAAAAGCCCCTTATATAACCATCAAATTTCATGAGAACTCACTCACTATCATTAGAATTGCATGAGGGAACCGTCCCCATGATCCCATCACTTCTCATGTGGTCCCTTCCCCAATACATGGGATTACAATTTGCATGACAATTCAAGGTGAGATTTGGGTGGGAACAGGGAGCCAGGCCATATCAGAAGGGCATCATTAAGTCCAAGTCACACTCAAGAGAGGAAATTAAGCTGCACCTCTGGAAGGGAGTAGTATTAAATGATTTGCATATATGTTAAAAGCAAAATTAAAACTATTTTTTCAGGATTTTGTAAATCAAAGGCTTCTGTTATCTAATTTTTTTCTTTAATGATTTAAGCTTGTTTTTAAATTAAATTAAATTTAATTTAATTTTAAGTTCCAGGGTACATGTGCAGGATGTGCAGGTTTGTTACATAGGTAAACCTGTGCCATGGTGGTTTGCTGCACCTATCAACCCATCATGTAGGTATTAACCCTGGCATGCATTAGCTATTTTTGCTAATGCTCCCCCAACCACCGCCCTCCCCCAACAGGCCCCATTGAGTGTTGTTCCACTCCCTGTGTCCATGTGTTCTCATTGCTTAGCTTCCAATTATAAGTGAGAACATGCGGTGTTTGGTTTTCTACTCCTGTGTGAGTGTGCTGAGGATAATGGCTTCCAGCTTCATCTATATCCCTGCAAACTACTTGATCTAATTAGCTTTTATGGGTGAATAATATTCCATGGTGTACATGTACCATATTTTCTTTATCCAGTCCATCATTTGTGGACATTTGGGTTGATTCCATGTCTTTGCTATTGTGAATAGTGCTGCAGTGAACATACACATGCATGTATCTTTATAATAGAATGATTTATATTCCTTTGGGTATATATCCTGTAATGGGATTGTTGGGTCAAATGGTATTTCTGGTTCTAAATCTTTGAGGAATCTCCATACTGTCTTCCACAATGGTTGAACCAATTTACATTTCCACCAAGAGTGTAAAAGCATTCCTATTTCTTTACAACCTCACCAGCATCTGTTGTTTCTTTTTAGTAATTGCCATTCTGACAGGCATGAGATGGTATCTCATTGTGGTTTTGATTTGCATTTCTCTGATCATCAGTGATGTTGAGCTTTTTTTTAATGTATTTGTTGGCTGCATGTACGTCTTATTTTGAGAAGGGTCTGTTGATGTCCTTTGTCCACTTTTTAATGAAGTTGTTTTTTTCATGTAAATTTGCTTAAGTACTTTGTAGATTCTGAATACTAGACCTTTGTCAGATGGATAGATTGCAACAATTTTCTCTCATTCTGTAGGATGTCTGTTTGCTCTGATGATAGTTTGTTTTGCTGTGCAGAAGCTCTTTTGTTTAATTAGATCCCATTTGTCAATTTTTGCTTTTGTGGCAGTTGCTTCTGGTGATTTCATAATAAAATCTTTGTCCATGCCTATGTCCTGAATGATATTGCCTAGATTTTCTTCCAGGATTTTTCTAGTTTTGGGTTTTACATTTAAGTCTTTAATCCATCTTGAGTTATTTTTTGTGTCAGTATGGTCATTATAAAATATTAATAATGTAGCATTCAAAGGAAAAAAGTAGTATAAAATACTTTAACATGTTGTGTTATAATTTCCTTACCCATCTTCTAACCCCCGACCTGTGCCATCTATGAGGTTCAATGAAGTTTGATTTGTTTTTCTGAGATCAA